TAATAATAATAATAATAATAATAATAATAATAATAATAATAATAATATTCTGGAATGCAAACGGGGCTTCTTTTCCAGGACAAAACCTTTGATCCTTTTTCACTGAGGTTTTTAATTAAATATCGATATCATTGGAGAAACACGGACGCCTTCCCTACCCCCCCCCCCCCATGTCACTTCATCACCCCAACTCAGCCAAATAAAGCAATCCAAATCTAAGCCTTCCTATATAAGGTGCTAACTTAGGAGCAGAGGTGGAGGAGTCCATTCTCTTGAGGACTAGTAACCTGCCAGGATGAATTTGCCCTGGAAAACTTGTGCCACAGGGGGGGAAGTTGATCCTTCCTATTCTCAGCGCTTAATCCTGAGTCACTGATGGTTTTGCCATGTGGTTGTTTTTCTTAAGATCAAAACATCCTCAGGTGTTGAAATGGGTTCTCTTCCACGGTGGGCTGCAAAATGTTGATCAGAAATTTGAGGAACAAATTAAAGTGGTCTTCCCCCCCCCCTTCCAGTAGCATTTTACACCAGTAGTAACTTTAACACCGCTGGGTATGAAATTGCAAATGTTTGTTTGCTTATCGCCTCTTGCAAAAAATTATTAGTTTTCCATGTGTGTATGTGTGTGTGTGAACGCAGCCTCACTCCCCCCAAACACCATCCTAAAACGGTTCAAGATTTATTTCCATCCCACCAAGTTTTTTTCAGTGGCATCTCTGCAGTTTGGAAAGAATACCTTTCGCCGCCCAGAAGTGGGTGAGACCGCTCCTCCGAATCAAAACCGATCAAAAAGGCATCCAAAAAATGGATGAACTATTTGCATTTTTTTAAAAAAAAGGGAAGGGAGAAAAACACACACACACACACACATATCCCAGAATACAGATGCTAAAAACATAGGAAGTTTCTCAGGGTCTATCCAACCCTTGATGTGTGTGAGAGAGAGAGAGATCGGGGTCACACATCAGCCCCTCCAAGCCCTTCAAGCAGTCAAATGGCTAATCGATTCCCTGCAAAACAAGCTCAGGTTCTAGTCCTCAGTGATTCTTGTCAAAAACAACAACAACAACACACACAAACAAACAAGGGGACTGGTTGAAACTTGAACCTGCATAAAAACGTCCATCGTTCAGAGTCTGGTTCTGCAGCTGTTTTAAGAGAAATATCTCACCCACCCACCCCTCAAAAACCCCTCCTTTTGGACCCACGCTA